TTGAGAAACCCGTTGGGAAGCATCGGCCAGCCGATGAACCCGACGGTGACTACGATATCGTGGACTACCGCTTATGCGGCCCATGATATCCGAATTTGACCGCAGTTGCTGGAACCTCCTGCCGCATACCAGGAGACGGCCAGCGTGCGAGATATACTCGGGACTCCCACCGAACATTCTTCACCCGTTCGACGAACCCTCGAAGTGTTGGTAAAGCTGCTAGCCAACATCCCATCGCCCAGGTAGGATACATGTCGCGCATCACGATCTTCGGTCCAACGACGGAACACGATTTACCCGACGCCATACGACCTCCGAGTGGAGCCGTTTGCTCCATTTCATAACGCAATTCACGGGAACCGTCAGCCGCGAACGCGACCCCCAGAGATGGCCGACCCTTCGTCGACGCGGTCATCTCAGGTGAGACGTTCAGCGCCCTCGTCGATACCGGCTCGTCTGTCAGTCTGATTGGAGATCGTACGTCACCTTCGGACGTGCGGCGTCGTACCCGACCAGACTGACGTCAACCAACGATTGGACAACGCAGCGTGTGTTTCGGATTGACACAGAGTAGACGACGAAATCCCTGGCCAACCTTATTCGCGGGATATCCACTCGACATTCGGTGTACTGCTGACCTCGCTCTCGTCAGAGTACACACCGCAGTACGAAACCTCCACAACGACGATGTTCCCCCGCCCTTTCCGGTCAACAACATTTCAAAATTTACAAAATTACCCGAAAAACAAACACGAAATTTGCAGAATTTCTGGAACGCCAGATGCCGCTTTTTGACGACGATTAGGGGTAGTCGGCGTTGACTGAGCAGACGCAGTGGCTCAGGGCAATTGCAACCCCTGTCAAACAGAGGTATCCCAGAAATCCTGTAACGCAATCTGTCGAAGTGGATGCTTTCCCGAGGCAACCCGTGGCAAACGTGGGCCACACGGGCCTGGCCACGGTGAGTCACCTCACATCGGAGGTGGCCGACGTGCCTCGTGAACGTCCCAACGAACGAATTCGCCGAGACCGGAAAGACGACGCATCGAGGCTACCGCGACGAACGACGGCCAATCGGGCCATGTCGCGGTGAGTCACCTCACATCGGAGGTGGCCGACGTGCCTCGTTAACGTCCCAACGTACTAATTCGCTGAGACCGGAAAGATGACGCATCGAGGCCAACCGCGACGAACGACGGCCAATCGGGCCTTGTCGTGGTGAGTCACCTCACATCGGAGGTGGCCGACGTGCCTCGTGGACGACGCCCGACACGACGTAGATTCTTCGAAACCGAAGAGTATCGAACAACGCAACGAACTCCGACTCACGCCCCGACGGAGCTGGTGATATCCCTCCCGTTGGTTGATACGATACGATACGATACGAACGATTACGACTAAACGACGACTTCTACACGCACCTCTTCTTCGAGACCATTCCGACCCCATCCGAACCCCTACGTTTAAGATCTTTTTTTCTTTTTTTTGCTGAAGTTGGTAAGGGGTGTAAGGTGCCAAATTCTAGGGGGGGTAAAAACGTACTACGAATAAATGAACACCAGAACTTACCCAATTTTTAACCTCAATAGCCTACTCCGAGGCCTATGTGTAGGCCATAGCTTGGGCTATGGGCCAAAGAACGTAGGCCTATTTTTATTCACATTTATATTACACACACACATCCACGACTACATATTTATTCATAATAGCACTTTGTTTCACATAATAAAGTTAAACCGGCCGATTTTACAGGTATTTAACGCCGACGACGACATAACCCCAAACTGGTGTTTATTTGTTGACAGACGACAGACGAAACTAGACCAGCTCAACAAGTGAATTCGATCAGCTGTTATCTAGTAGTACTAAAGTTCGCCGCTTGAGCGCGTAAGCCTCGAGCGGGCAGGAACGAAGGATTTTACTCCAAGACAGGATTATTCGTTCGTACGCCGTCTTGAAAGTAACTTCGTCGTTACATCCGCGCTCGCACGATAATCGACACGACTGTACGATTTTGTTACGAAGGTTAGCTAGCATACTTAGTTAGGACCTTTTCACGTTTTACGTTATTTTCTTTTCACGCAATTCTTAATCTATTATTCGTATTCGCTGTATTAAAGTCCAGATTCGAATGGTCTAAATTTAATAACTTTAACTTGAGTCTTGACCCGCCAGTTCCTGCTTGCCAGTGACTAGCGGTGGCCGTAAGTGTTGCATTCGTTTAATTTAATTCGTTATTAAATCTATCGTTTATTTGTTTCGCCGTTCAGATTTTATTCCCGTTTTACGTCGTTTTAATACCCCGAGACTTGTCGTCTAAGTTCTAAACCCCGTCTTTGGCGGGTGAAAGAATCAAGTCTTGGGAGCAGCTGATTTGAACAATCAAACAGCTACGAATATTAATATTAAATCTATTTTAAATCATCCCACGATAAATTCTGCATTCGATTATATTAATTAGGCCCCGACGACTCTGTAGGAATTGTTTTGCCTTTTATTCGATATTAGATCAATTACCAACGTCTTCAACTAATTAGTTTAAAGTTCATTACGAGTATTTAAATCACATTGGCTTAAGATTGGATACTTGTCAGCCCTACAGAGTCATACTAAAAGTTAAGGCAAAATTTACCAAAACACGTTAACGAAGGCTGGGATGATATAACTCCAACTGAGCGTCTGCAGGATTTCCTGAACGTTTCCTGAGCTCTGAGCCTTCGATTAAATTTTAATAAATTGATCAGTCAAAGCCGTGACACCTTCGTATCGACCCCTGGATTTTTCTCGGCTCCTTCTGAGCACTCCGGGGAAGAAATTTGAGTGTGGCTGGTTCTAGGGGTAGGCCTAGCCTGACTTTGGTGAATACTAGTTTATTCCCCCCCTAGAATTTTGCGTCACAAGCTGATTGACTATTATAACTACGATTTAACCTGTCATTTCGTGTTTATAGTTTCGGTATTTCTGAACTATCTGGACTTTTCTTTTAAACGTTTTTATAACATTCCTACGATCTTAATAAACAAAAAAATACCTTTAAAGCATTTTTTTTATGCGCGGAAACCGCTCCAAATTACAAAAACATACGGAACTATATTCTCAAGTCGCGGAGCACATTTCTTGCCGAGGAAAAATAGCGGAGTGATACGGACCGGGTACTACTTTTCTCTAGTGATGGAAATATCAGTTACTTTGCTCTATCGGTGATCACTGCTACCGTGATTCTTTGGTATCAGTGATTCGTATCAGTGATTAACGGTGATTATACTGCTACCGGCTCCTTTGTCATTTGTTGGATGTTATTTCTGCTAATAACAATACCATACCTACCATGCTAACTTCGCGCATGCTTGACATCAACAATTTTATTAATTAATATGTAACAAATCAATGTAATTAATAAATTTTATTTAATAAATGTAATGTAATTAATTAATATGTATGTTAATTGATATGTAATGTGAATTCCTTTGCTGGGAAATGTGTCGGGTTTATTTTACTAGAAAAAAGTAAAGGTAAATACATGAAATAATCCTTAAGATGAGAAAATAATTTAATTATGTATCAAACAAGGTTCAAATACAAAAAAGTATCTACATAAATAAAAACAGGTGTAAAAGATTTCCTTACAGGACTTGTTTTAGGCCTATTCATTGTTATTCCTAAGAAACAAAGAACGTAGACGAAAACGCGCTCGAAATTGCGAATTAATAGAAATCATAACTCAGAATAATCCAGCAACAGTAACAGGGTATATGGGTTAGCTACCCATCACCGATAGCAGCAAACGTGTATCACAGTCAGTCACAGTCCCAGTCACACCACAGTTACAGAGTGGACGGTGAACGAGATTTTCAAATATCAGTGAAATATATCAGTGAAGTGATTTCACTCCCATCACTACTTTTCTCTATGGCACCTATTTGTGTTGCCAGCTGAACCTAAAAACGTGTTGTATAGTGTTTGAAAGACTAATTATTTATATGCTTTATAGTGACTGTAGGAAAAACCAAATACTTGGGGCCTATACATTACGGAGAACCTTAATTGGGGAACACATGTCGATGCAATAGTGTCCAGACTATCATCTGTCACCTACCTGCTGTTTAGACTACAAAAGCTGGTTGACATCGATTATTAAGGTTTAATATGGCTGCTTTAATAGCATAATTTCATATGGTTTGGTATTTTGGGGTGGTTAGTGAGGCAAAACGCATCTTCATCCTTTAAAAACGTGCTATTAGAAGAATATGTGGAATCCATAGACGGACACACTACTAAACCTCTGTTCCAAGAATTGAACATTCGCACATTTCCGTCTCTGGTCTCTCTTTATATTGGAATCCGCATTGCTCGTTAAGAATAATCCTAATATTTTTGTAACTAACATGGTCCACAATTACAATACAAGAAGAGCAACAAATCCATGTACCTCAAGTAAATTCCACCCTTGCAAGCAAGAGCCCTTACTTCAATATAAAAATTTACAATAAATTGTCTCAGTTCATCAGCAAGAGCCTTCTATCAACAATTTCAAGAACCTGCTTAAAACATATTTAAGTCAAGCGGCCTACAACAGTGTCGATGAAATATGTCTAGGCCATGTGCATCTCTGAAGAGGAAATGAATCCGTTTGTATAAATTAATAGCAAGAAAAGTAAAAAAGCCTGACGACCACGTCGCTGATGCGATACCAGTGGGAATTCTCCAAGTATCCAAGTAATAAGCATTTAAGTAATTTTTCTCAAGATTATTTTAGCAATGACGTTTCAAAAATACTAATTTTATTGCGTGATGGTTTTGAAGTTAGTAAAAAAGGGGGTATGCTTTATCTTTGGCAAAATAATCGAAATAAAGAGAAGACAAACTAAATCAAGTGTTACATAAACATTTTCAATATGCAGTACAACTATCCTCCTTCATAATCTATGACATAGAGTTAATTTTCCTCCATGATATTTTTTCGATTCTGCTTTCATCTCCAATTCTCCAAAGTCCAACACCAACTCCACGTGTGAATTATTCTTACTCTTTCCGGCTGTGGATTTATATGCAGCATAGGTTATCTTCGTAGGTGAGTATCTCAGAAATTATTTATTTAAATAAGGCCTAGTACATATAACAATTTATGGATAATTATTTTCTTATTTCAAAAGGATGATGTTGTTGAATTCATAACACTCGCACTGTGTTAAAATTTATAAAATGGCCAGTTGGCTGTCGATGTAGGCTTGACGTAACGCAGGTTATGTGTGCATCATGCTAGCCTCCGTTATTGAACACAAATCGAGCCACAGTTTTCCTTTATGAATAGAGTTATTTAGCCATAGGTTCAAATTATTTGCGGTTGTCTAAGCCTAGGTGAAGGCATGACGTGAATGTGGATTTCAAAAAATTGTAGGCTAATGAGCAGTTGCATTTTGGTCATGCCCTTGGGCTAGCAGTTCAAGGCTACCTAGGCCGATGTTAGGCCTATTTTGATTGTTTTTTTTTTTTTAATTACAAACCTTTTATGTTAAGTTACCGTACTCACATACGGATTTTAGGCTAAATGCCAAAATGTAGGCCAAGGCTTTAGGCCTAACCTGTAAACAACCACTAAGTAGGCTACCTAAGTTATTTCGGTATTTATTGTGACGAACGTGACCATGGGAACCTATATAGAATTATATATCACTAGAAACTAGATTTTTAGCTGAAAATATCGGTGCAAAAATTTTTCCGCGCTCTCAAATAAGTATTAACGGAGTTACGTCTGTTTTAAGTTTTATTTACCAGTAGGCCTAGGCTACTTTGTTTGTTTGACCTAACCTATTTATAAGCCTATGAAATGTTCTCTCCTGATACTTGATATATTATGTTAATTATAAGTAATGATTAAAGTAGAAGACTCACTTTTTACCTGGAAATAACAGTGCAAAAACTTCTCCGAGGCCACGAATATTAACTAAGGTAACTTAAGATAATTTGACATTTTGATTTCCTTTATCTACCTTCTGCCTTCTATTCTAGTCTGCTACTAACAGTACTAACTCCTTGACTCCTTGCCGCAATACGGAATTCGGGAATTACGGACTAGACTAACTGTTTGTAGAACTGTACTGAACCGAACTGAAATGAAAATGAAAATACGAAATTGAAGAGAAGAGAATACAATAAGTCAATCAAGTCATTTAAAGTACATATGCTACAAACATATAAGAAACAACACGGCACTGAATAATTTATTTCAGAATGATTTTATTTAGGCATGTGTGGAAGGCAAGTCGGGCTTATGCGGATTCGTGACTGTATTAAGTGTTTTGAAGTTAGGTTAGATTAGGAAGGGAAAGTGTAGGTTCACTATAACCTACACTTTTACTTAGGCTACCTAATCTAACCTACCTTCAAAGGACTTAATGCAGTCACGAATCCGCATAAAGTCCGACTTGCCTTCTACACATGCCTTTTCTGTCATCATACTTATATTTTATGTTACAGCAAGTATGGTTTGGTTAGGTTAGTTTAGAATAGTTTAGTTTTAACCCTAGCGCTGGCAAACGCCGGATATACGGCGCGAACGGCCGCGGCCGAAATGGCAACGCCGGATATACGGCGCCAATGCAGGTGTTACGGTAGGCCTATAGATTTTTTTTTTTTTTTTTTTTTTTAGTTTTCTTTGCTTTTTAGGGCTACTTTTGTAATAAATAAGTTAAATAATTCAAACCAGAGTACCCTGGAATTATATATTATGTAAGGTGTACGGTTTTGTACATGACCTGGGTTGGATGATTATTTGGTACTAGCGCGGGGGTACAATCAACATAATAATAGGGCTATCAAACAAAATATACAAAGTAACCATATAAACCACCTATATTATTGTTCTTTGTTTTATTCTGAACAAAATGATATATAATAACCCATAGTTATGTTGCTATTTCTAATTTTTATGATGGTTTAAAAATGATATTACATAGTTAATAAAATCCCTATGCCAGTACAGCGTTACACTACTGCCAGCTCTAGGGTTAAAAATAATATGTATTCACAGACTAATCAACGTGTTATTTAAGTCAATAACTCAATTACTCATCCCCTGGTTATATAACCAAATGTAAAGCACAGCTCGTTTAGTAACTTTACTTTGGTCCCAGTTCAAAAAAAAAGTTGTAATATCTACAACCATGGTTTCGACGCTAGTTGCGTCATGGTCATGTAGTTAGCAAGTCCAGAAGTATCTTGTCATAGTCGGTCGCTTGGACGTCGTCATATTTACACAAACATGGACACGGACATGAACACACATGTACATTGATTAAAATAAAAGGTTCTCGTGGACGGAACACAGGCCTGTGGTGAACAGTTAATTTGTACCGTCGCGGGAGCCGGCAGGAGAACACTGAGGGCGACGGCGTCTGTGATTACATGACCCTTGCACCTTCTTTGGACATGGACTCGTCCTGTGGGGGTTGTCTGTTGAAGATAGACTTGCCTGACGAACTTTAGACGTTTGGATGATTTTGTTAAAGATTAAGTGTGAACTATAATTTAGTTTTTCATTCAATAGGCTACGTTATCGCTGTCCTGTTTTAGGGCCTTATAAATATGGAATTCTTCGAGGGTGTCAAGAGTAAAACCTTTGCTGCAAACTTCAATTCCAGTGTTATGTTCTTCATCCATAATGTGTTGAGCATAACTTGATTTTTGAGGATTTATTCGGGGATTTGGTTTATGTTCCTTAGCCCTTTTGGCAAAGGATCTGCCTGTTTGTCCTATGTAAAACTTATCACAGTCATTACATTTTAATTTTTAGATGCCCCAGTATTTTCTAATTGGTTATCATTATGCTGTGATTTGGGTTTAAGTAGGCTATCAATTTTATTGGAGTTTCTAGGTGCTGGAATTATGTTGAATGGTTTGAGTTCTTTCTTCAATAAATTATGGAATCTATGGCCATATTCAATGGGAACGTATTTAGGTTTTATTTCATTTTGTTGTTCAGTTTTATCAGACGACTGTGCTAACTACAAGACCATGATGCAACTAGCGTCGAAACCATGGTTGTAGATATTACAACTTTTTATTGAACTGGGATGAAATTAAAGGTAACTAAACCACTATTATTTTATATTTGTCTTACCAGTTCAGGGGCAAGCCACAACAATGAGTAAATTGTATTATTTACCATGAAGTATAGGCTACTGTAGAAAAGATCCCTGTAGTTGATTTGTGTGAGCACTGAGTTAGGTATTGTTTTTTTTAACTCTAACTTAATTAACTTGTTGAGTAAATAACTTAATTTGATAGTAAATTAAATTAAATTAGGTCTAGGTACTTGATTGTTGGAAAGGTGTTTAAAAATTAATTAATAGGCTATCCTTTATTTATTTAAAAAATCTTATAAACGCACACACATCATAGATGCAAAACTATTTTTTATAATTTTGCTCATAACTGTGTGCTGACAGTAAAGAGAAGATTCGCTAACACCACACTTATGTGTGACGTTTGATAGTAGCTTCACTACATTTTTTATTCTTTTGTGTAGATTTGAAGACAAATAAATGATTTGTTTTGCACTTGATGAATACAACTAATTCTATTTATGTTTTATGTTCTGTAATATAATTTAATTAGCCTCACTTAAGCTATTCAATGATTTTGCCTCATGCTAAGATGCAATCTACAATAGACTGCTAAGGGCAGGCGCGCACTATCCTGACCTCGACCACGTCCAAATGCCTGACCACAACAACAAATGTACTAATGTAATAAATTATGGAATCTATGGCCATATTCAATGGGAACGTATTTAGGTTTTATTTCATTTTGTTGTTCAGTTATCAGACGACTGTGCTAACTACAAGACCATGACGCAACTAGCGTCGAAACCATGGTTGTAGATATTACAACTTTTTATTGAACTGGGATGAAATTAAAGGTAACTAAACCACTATTATTTTATATTTGTCTTACCAGTTCAGGGGCAAGCCACAACAATGAGGAAATTGTATTATTTACCATGAAGTATAGGCTACTGTAGAAAAGATCCCTGTAGTTGATTTGTTTGAGCACTGAGTTAGGTATTGTTTTTTTTTTAACTCTAACTTAATTAACTTGTTGAGTAAATAACTTAATTTGATAGTAAATTAAATTAACTTCTTATGTTTTCTTAGGCATCAAGATGGGTGCCTACAAGTACGTACAGGAGTTGTACCGCAAGAAACAGAGCGATGTGTTGAGGTTCTTGCTGCGTATCCGAGTGTGGCAGTATCGTCAGATGACCAAGATGCACCGAGCACCTCGCTCAACACGACCTGACAAAGCGAGGAGACTCGGCTACAGGAATAAGGAAGGTCAGTCAGCTACGGTACTCAATGTTGCTTTAATTAGTAAACAACTGTAGGATAACACAGCAAACTGGTATATCTGTTAGGCTTTCTAGGTTTTTTGGTTTGGATGAGTTTAATTTTAGCGAATTTCTCATATAGGGATTAAACTATTTTTTGTTATTAAATTTTTAGGTGAAAGTTTTATGTAAACAAACAATAGACAACTAACAAAGAAACAATCATACACTGTACAAAATTATACTGTAGCCTAAGGTATCTGAAACCTTTTGAATTACAATACAATATCCTATACGTGGTGTTCATTACGTGTTATCCAACGTAAGTTCATTTCAGGTGATCTGAATGAACCTCCCTAACTTAAAAAGTTTTTTCCAAGCATTTAATGATTTTAATGCCTTTGTAAATTCCTTTGTAGGTATATAACCTAAGTTTACTGTACCAAGTAATAAAAATATTAAAAAAATAAATACCTACATATCAGACTAATTTTTACATATTAATTTATTTACGTACCTACATCAGTATTTTTACATATTTTTTATTGAATAAACAATCTTCGAAAAAATGTTGAATAATTCTGTTTAATGTTAACTAATGTTGAATAATTCTGTTTAATGTTTTATAATGTTGAATAAACTAAATGCTCAGAAGAAATTGGTTCTTGTAAGCTTTTGACCGTCGATTTGACAGACACAGTCTGTCCAGTTACTGGGTGTCAAGTTAGTGAGATTTTACTGTTAAAGTTTTTCAGATTTAAATATAGCACTGACAAACACAGGCCTACAGCGCTAGTCCAATTTTAAATTAGTTCTGATCAATTAAGTTTGAATTTCGTACTAGGGAATCTATTTTGGCTTTTTTTTAGGATTTCCAATTAGGTCTAGGTACTTGATTGTTGGAAAGGTGTTTAAAAATTAATTAATAGGCTATCCTTTATTTATTTAAAAAACCTTATAAACGCACACACATCATAGATGCAAAACTATTTTTTATAATTTTGCTCATAACTGTGTGCTGACAGTAAAGAGAAGATTCGCTAACACCACACTTATGTGTGACGTTTGATAGTAGCTTCACTACATTTTTTATTCTTTTGTGTAGATTTGAAGACAAATAAATGATTTGTTTTGCACTTGATGAATATAACTAATTCTATTTATGTTTTATGTTCTGTAATACAATTTAATTAGCCTCACTTAAGCTATTCAATGATTTTGCCTCATGCTAAGATGCAATGTACAATAGACTGCTAAGGACAGGCGCGCACTAGCCTGACCTCGACCACGTCCAAATGCCCGACCACGACAACAAATGTACATACCAACCAAGCTTCCATGTCAAGATGAATGTTGATGAAGTAGCTGCTGTAGTGCATTTGTTTTGTGGATACGTTAAATAGAAGAAAAAACTATGCTGGGTGCATCCGATGTTAACTGTCCTCCCAAGCTGCCTTCTTTTGGCATAATTGTCTGACGATAGATCCCGTAAAAGAGAGCCTTTCTTCAATAGCCACAATAAAACATTCAGTGTCCAAATAAAACTGTGGCATTATAAAAGAAGTTATTTCACACCACACAAAAAAACAAGTGAACACCTTTTGCTTGATCAGAAGCAGAGTCCAACCTACTAGTTGGGTGAGAGTCGGAGGCAGTGCGTGTCACACTGTGACAATGCGTTCAATTTTTGGCTGCAACAGCTAGTGAGTCGGGCCCGACCAAAGTCCTCGGAGTCTTGTTGTCCGACCAGTTGGCCAGTGCATGATATTCCATTTACGCCTATTGTAAAACTGAACATCTGACCGGTCGGAGTCTGTTCGGGCTAGTGCACTAACGGCACTTAGTCTGACCACCATTTTCAGAACCTTAAGATTTTATGTGCATAGCTAAACACTTCTCATCCCATTGTAAATATTGAAGCTCGTTTTTCGTGTTCTTTATGTTATTGACACTGATAACTGGTGTGACAAAATTTTGTTTCTGTTATTTAAGGGTTAATTTCATGATTTGGGCTTTACTGCCTAACTATGGGACGAGTTGTTGTTTATGATTAAATCGTTTTATTTGGTTAAACGAGGTTTTAAATTATTGAAATAACAAGAAACAAATTGTAAACAAAACACAACGTTCCTCTACAGTGCACCGGACGAAACTAACAATCAAATTGTCTCAGCTTATCCAGAAGGATGAGAAATCTAAGGGATGTTTTATCTATGGTATAAGTTAGCCTAGTTTGGTTTCAAATATTTACAAAAGTTGACTTTGTAAACATGAACTTTGATTCCAACCTATGACTTATTTTATTTAGGCCCTATTTAAATAAAATATTGCCTATTTCTTGACATTTGTATCCTGTTACTCATGTGCGCTTTGTGTCATATTTGGAATTTTGAAATTAGTATTTTAGTAGGCTACCGTCTATTTCTTTTATATAAACTAACATAACCATCTACATTTGTTTTCATATATCCATGCGTTCGTCACGTCTAAACAAATACAAAACATTTTTTTCAGTGTGGAAATGAAAATATAAAATTTAAACCTACTTATGATGAGTTCCTTTGTAAATAAACAGCTACCTTTTGTAATTCTTAACCCTCCGAGCGTCACTCGTCGAAAAATCGACTCACGACACACTTTGTGTAGTGTCACGCGTCGATTTTTCGACACACGAACATCGTTTACGGCGAAGGCTCTATGACTGACTGAATCGGATTGAACTTGATCGAGTTAGGTATCGTTCTTTTCGTTAGATTCTAAGCTTTCTCCAGAGGTCTGTCTCTAAGCGCTTTATGTTCTCCGAGCTGATCGTAATTGTAGCAGACAGCTGACGTGCGTATTTGTAAACAGCTAGGTTACCCTCGGACCGATGACTGATGTGTTTTATTACGTTTATCATTGTTTTAGTGTTAAAAATCAAAAGTAGTGATATACGTGGTGCATTATAAGAAGATTTAAGTGATTTTGAAGGGCTGGTTGATGATCCTGAAGAAGTAGGTAGTGATATTGATGTAAATTATCAGCCAGATTCCTAGCTATGGTTAGGCTATGCATTCTTAGCCGCTATGTACTGAAATCTGTTTTTTGCCCATAACTTATTTATTTGCAAATCTACTTCCTTATATTTTATATATTTGTAATCCTCATAAAATTTAGAACAAAGTGGCTATTTTCAAATATTTATAGGCCTATAATTTATACAATTTCATTAAGCGCAAACTTATTTTTTTTTTTGAAAATTTTCCAAAATATTTTTTTTTACCTAAAAGATTTTTTTGGAACAAATGTTCCTTATGTTTTATGTATAATATTGAAGCCCATGATTTTCCAAACAAAATGGTATATAGAACAGTAGAATTAACATTGTTTTAAGCTTCTCAGATCCGTTTTAATAAAACCTTGCATATGCGCCAAAAATAGGCGGACATTAAGGCCTAAACTATGGACACTCGGAGGGTTAAGTGTTTTAATTTTCTTGACCATGTAGGCCTACCTGATGATGGGTTTAAGCTTGGTTATAATTCACCTGGCTCAAAGTTTTATTGATAAGTTTGAAATCTCCACAGGGTTCTGCATCTTCCGTATTCGAGTTCGCCGTGGAGGCCGCAAGCGCCCTGTGCCCAAGGGAGCCACCTACGGCAAGCCTAAGAGCCACGGAGTTAATCAGCTGAAACCCGTGCGAAACCTCCAGTCTGTAGCCGAGGCAAGTAGTCTTGTATTATTCATTATAAGAAACAGCCTATTCTGATATCAGTATTGCACAACCTTATATCTTTAGAGACAAGTATCTGGCTTGCTTTTGTTTTGGAAGTGCAAATAGAAATGTGAAGTTTCGCTAACACCACACAGTTGTGTGAGGTTTGATAGTAGCTTCACAACACTTATTCTAACTTATTTGATTTAGGCTACTGTTTGTCGAGTAATTTTTTGTCATACTATATTGTCTTTTCGAACGAATAATGTAAGTAGGCCTACTAGATGCACAAACAGAACTGTTGCTGAGGAATACTTTTTTTTGTCAATTCATAAAAATTTTCCTCAGTTAAAATGTGTCAACTGATAAAAAAACTAACTGATAAAAACTAAGCTGATTTATATTTATATAAAAGTAGCTCATTAAATTAATATGAAAACTAAGAATTTCAGTGAGGCTAATTCGCAAGTGCCAAGTTTTTTCTAGTAAACAAAAGACGCTACTGTGTAATACATTTATTTGATAATGAATATTGCGATTAGGCCTATCGTTTAAATATTTGATATATTATCAATAGGCCTAAGGTAAGATAGGCCTGTAATGCACAACCTCAAATTTGTTAAGGCAAGTAAATACCTGCTTTGATTGAAGTTAAGTGCAGATAGAAATGGGAAGATTCGCTAACGCCACGCTTTTGTGTGAGGTTTGATAGTAGCTTCACAACACTTTTCTGATTGTTATCTCTTTGCCAGGTTTTAACATAATGGATGTTCCTAATTAAGTGATTGCCTTATTACGATATTTTAGAATGTTTTAAGTGTGATTTTGTTAATAAGGTCCATTGAGCCTGTGCGGTTTTTCGATAGAATATAAGCTTAAGATGTTCCAAGATTTTGATTTTAGGCCTAATAGCTAGTCTATACATGGTGTCTACTCTATTTGCAAAAACCTCCTACCGAAATTTAAAATTACCATGAGTTATCCTGGAACACTCCATAAAGTTAGCCAACCCTCCTGGAATCCTAAATATAACAGTAAATACTGTGGAGTAGCAATCATTCGAAGCACAGTCATCAGAGATGTCCATCAATCAAAAGGCCAATCTCCAGTGTTTCCTCAATTGCGAGAGACTATCAGCGGTTACACTGAGACTGGAAATATGCTCATATTAGACTATATTATATACCACAATATAATGATAATGTTATTCCTAGGAAAGTGTTTTTTTAAACCACAAGCCTACAAATTAATAAGTTAAAATACATAATCCAATTTCAAACTTACAATTTACAAATTTAATTGTTTTGTAGTTCAATGGATTATGTGATAAGAATGATTATTTCTTTTAAAACATCTTAATGAATGTAAAGGCGGTGTGGTGAAGTTTAAAGAAAAGTTCCGAAAGTAGTACTTACATTATTGAATTTGTCTTTAGGGATAACACCTTTAGCCTAATTTGTAAGCGTGATTTAGTAGATATCATCTATAATACTTGACAGTGATGACAATTTAAAAATGCCTTTGAAATCCAGTGATGACTTATCTTCCTTGGATGTCTGATGTCAAAATGCAAGTACAATTGCCCTCTAGTTTTGAAGTTATAGCCTACATGATAATTACTCTCAATTGTGTCCCTATGTTCAGGAGCGAGTGGGTCGCCGCTGCGGTGGCTTGAGAGTTCTCAACTCTTACTGGGTGGCTCAAGACTCTACGTACAAATACTACGAAGTGATCTGCGTTGACCCATCACACAAGGTATGGAGATTTGGATCATTATTTTGCATGATTGCCCATGAAATTGTGTCTGAAGCACTGTCCCAAAAATCAAAAGGTTCAATGATGATGGTTTTACAAACCCATGATAATCTGTGATGCATACATCTTCCTTGGATGTCTGATGAACCATTAGTAAAATTACTATTCTAGCATCTTCACTTTTTTCAGATTATCCGTCATGAAAGGTTATATTTTGGACAAAGTAATTTTAAATGCTCATATAAACAAACTTTTAAAGATATATTTGGTAAATCCCACCTTTTTAACTATTGAAAACTGTCCACGATTAGCATACATGGTACAGTTCCAAAGGTTCAATGATGATGGTTTTACTAACCCATGATAAACTGTGATGCATACATCTTCCTTGGATGTCTGATGAACCATTTGTATAGGCCAGAATGAGTTTTTCTTTCATATCAATTTATGATATAATCAAATATTTAAAAAATAAAAAAACTTTTGCTTGTTATCCAATGTTAAACACGATTCTATGATGATGTACAAATTATCAGTTGATACTCTGTGATTGTTTTATCTTCCTTGGATGTCTGATGAATCATGTTTAACATACTTCTGACGGTTTTTATATTTAAATTCAAAATTATTTTAATGATGCTGTCATTGTTAAAGTAAGCTTTGCAAACTGTTGGTTATGATTTTTTTAAATTATTAGTTTCATTAACTTTTGATAATTGAATTTTGCTATTTTACTGTTTGATTCTAAACACTGAATGAAAATAGTTCCCTTTTCTCAGCATTCTATGCCTAATCAAATCTTGTAAACTACAAATTAGTTTTAACTCATTGTCCTGATAGTTTACATGATTCTATGATGATGCACAAATTACTAAATGAAACCCTGTGATTGTTATATCTTCCTTGGATGTCTGATGAATCATGTTTCAAACTTTTAAGGTAGTCTAGTATATATTCTAGGTTATTCAAGTATTTTGGTTTCACTGATATTTTGTTAACTATTGTTTTTATTTTATAATTTTCAGCCCACAATTTTCACTAAGCAGCACAATATAAAACAAATTGACATTGTTAGATGTTTTAAATTACTTAAAAAAGTAAAAGTATGTTACTTAAGGTGAATTGAGTTTGCTTTTTGAGCAACCGCCCAGAAACAACCTATTCAATGATAGTAATCAGCTTAATAAATTGACTATCAACTACACAATTTATTATAACCACAACTATTGTATCAAACAGTATAACATCATCACTCGTTAAACTTAGATGAATCAATAAACTTTTAATGTTCCTTAAGAATTTAAAATCTAAAATTTCTCTTAAGTTTCAGTCTTAGAAGAGGGAATAATTCACTGATATTGTCTATAATTTACACATCTTAGTAATTCTTAGTAATTTTTATTCCCACAAAATGTATGTAAGTTAAATCACTTAGTTAAAGTAGATTAGATGCTTGTATTTGAGGTTAAAAAAAAGGTTTGAATATAGTCATAAGATTTATTTGAACTTGGTTCTAGGCCATCCGGCGAGACGCGAAGGTGAACTGGATCGTGAACGCAGTTCACAAACACCGTGAGATGAGAGGCAAGACCTCGGCTGGTAGAAAGTCCCGAGGTCTGGGCAAGGGCCACCGCTTCTCCCAGACCAAGGGAGGCTCCCGTCGCGCTGCCTGGAAGAGGAGGAACACGCTACAGCTGCGCAGGAAGCGTTGATGTTAGCGTTTTACTTATTAAACTTTACTTTAAACCCAGCATTTTGTCAGTATTCCTTCTTTATTTCTTGTGTCCCTTTTCCTAGTTGTGTTGCATCTTTGTAACTTAAGTTTTTTTAAGCAGCAATAAAGTGTTGACAATGTTTTGGAATTAAAATATGTTGTCTATTCTGATTTTTTCAGGTGAATGGGTTGGTTTTTTACTTTTAAAACACTCTTTTTCAGGTCATTTTTTTAAGTAGGCTACCAAAAATCCTGAAACTTATTTGGCATTTTTATTTTATAAAAGTAGGTTAAATGAGCAACTAGATTTCCTGCTACAGGGAAGGTAATCGAGTTCTTTATAAAATGTCAATAGATTAGTTTGAAATATAAAAAAAATGGATACAAATATATCCATTAACAAGCAAACTACAACAGTTTGTTTGTTTTTTTAGTTCGTTAATTTGAGGATAAACAAAGGGAATTTACAATTTTGGAGTTTTTATTTTTATTTTTTTCTATAAAAATTTAGTGTACAACTGGGGACCTCGAAACAAAAAAAAACAGGGTGTCCACATTCTGGAAAGTCAGAATAGTCATGGATAAAACTTCTGGTCATTAAAAGTCATGGAAATCCCCAATGATGGATGGATTTCAGGGGACCTTTCAATGCTCTAGTCGGCCGTAACCCCGACTATTGTAGCATTTTTCCGAATTTTTCACAAATGTACGACAATTTAATTTATACAGTTGTCTTAGTTTATGGGTTTTGAGTTTGTATTAGTTCATTGTTGTAACTATTGTACTCCATTGTTATCTGTTAATAGGCCTACATATTTCAGTATTTTCTATGAAATACCTTGTCTAGGCAGTGTTATTCTTGTGTATACGGCATATTATATTTTTTTGAGTTAAGTTTGTGAGTCATGGAAATCAATGGTTAATGGTCATAGAAAGTCAGGGAAATTTATGAAAAAATTTCTGTGGACACCCTGAAAAAGTAAATTATTCCCATGGTCTTACCATGAGTCCTATGTGTAAATCGATCTAATATATTAATGTCAAAATTTATTTCAATTATCAATGCACTTGTGAATAAAAATATGTAAATACCAAAAAGCTAGTACTGTATGAAATTTGCTATATAATTAGCAGAACTTAAAGGAAAGAACAATACATTTATTTATTTATATTTGAAATATTTAAAAATTCTCATAGCTCTTGGGCTTAATAGTCCACTTAGATACAAGGTGTGGAGAGGCTGCAATATGGTACTAGCCGTTGCATCAGTGCCCATCCCCTGGATCCACGTTAATTTGTTCACGACTATAATTAATCTTTGATCCTTCTCTAGTGGTTGTCAATCGTAAGAATGAAGTAGATACAATTTGGGTGCAGTCCATAATACATTTTGCTGAAGTATGAATGCTCATTTTGGGTGAAAGGACTTGAAAATTGAGAACCTACTCACCCAATCTTTCACCGAACGAGCGCAGTCTAAAGAAGAAGCCATCTGGTCTACCATCAAAATCTTCTCGTGTCGAAACTTGTTTGACGAGTTCGTAGCCAGAGACGATGACGATGAGGTCTCGGCCTAGTCGTAGACCAACTACTGAGCCAAACATCTCTGCTAGACGACACCACACAAGATGAGTGAAGCCAAGATGCTTGCGAAGAGATATTACTTGCAGTAAGTTGCCAACAACAGGCAGCCATCGGGGTCCTGCAAACGAAGTGAGAGTTAACAGGGTGTCCACATTCTGGTAAGTCATGGAAAAAAATTATGGTCATTGAAAGTCATGGAAATAGGCAAAAAGTCATGGAAAGTCATGGAAATCCCCAATGATGGATGGATTTCAGGGGACCTTTCAATGCTATAGTCGGCCGTAACCGCGACTATTGTAGCATTTTTCCGAATTTTTCACAAATGTACGACAATTTCAATTTATACTGTTCTCTTAGTTTATGGGTTTTGAGTTTGTATTAGTTCATTGTTGTACCTATTATACTCCATTGTTATCTGTTAATACATTTCAATATTTTCTCCAAAATAACTTGTCTAGGCAGTATTATTTGTGTGTGTACGGTATATTATAATTTTTGAGTTAAGTTCGTGAGTCATGGAAATCAATGGTTAATCCTATACTCTAATACAAGCAATGTTTGCTTGTATGTATGTATGCTTGCTTGCTTGCTTGTACCAAGATCTCGAAAATGGCTCCGACGATTTTCTTCAAATGTTAACGAGTTTACTGCAGTTAGAACTGCCAACAAAAATCTAATTACATAGAAAAATTAAACTGAAAGTCAAATTTTTTTAACATTTGTCTTATGGGTTGCTAGGTAACCATGTTGGTTGAATTAAATAACAAGGAAAAAGTAAACAAAAGACTTGTAAGTTGTAACATATGTATTCATAAAGGCATCTACCCACAGTATACTAGAAATTACAAAATACAGTACAAAAGGAAAAACATCACTTGTTACTATTGAGCAATGATTATACTGAAGCTTACTCGATACATTGTAGTAAAGGCTAACTTAGCAGTGCGGAGTGTGAAATCTGTTATGACGATTAGATTAAGGTAGATTTCCCATCCTTATGGAACAGCTGAAGCCAATTTTATTGTTAGTTCTGTCCGGTTTTCTGTAGATGTCGTGGTTTGTTTACAATTTGTTTCTTGTTATTTCAGTAATTTAAAACCTCATTTAACCAAATAATACTATTTAATCATAAACAATAACTCGTTCACTATATTACCGTACTATATTACTATATTACTATCGTTGGCTATATAACCAAACAGTCAGACACAAATAATGAGAAACTAACCCTAAAATAATAGAAACAAATTGAAAACAAAACACGACATCTACAGAAAACCAGACAGAACTAACAATAAAAGTGGCTTCAGCTGTTCCATAAGGATAGTAAGGTATCTGCAATCCTAAAATGCTATGGAAAGGAAACAGGTCCGCAACGTAGGAAGTGGTGAAGGAAGTAGTCAATGCGAGCTATCCTGAGTGCGGGAACTGTTTATGACGATTAGATTAAAATATCTGCAGTTCTAAAATGCTATGGGAAGGTAAGGAGACAGGTCCGTGACGTAGGAAGTGGTAAAGGTGAGCGGTCCGGAGTATGGGAACTGTTTATGACGATTAGATTAAGGTATATACAATCCTAAAATGCTATGGGAAGGGAGGGAAACAGAGGTCCGCAACGTAGGAAGTGGTGAGGGAAATAGTAAGGTGAGCGGTCCGGAGTGTGGCAACTGTTTACGACAATAAGATTAAGGTATATACAATCCTAAAATGCTATGGAAAGGGAGGGAAACAGAGGTCCACGACGTAGGAAGTGGTGAAGGAAGTAGTAAAGGTGAGTAGTCCGGAGTGTGGGAACTGTTTATGACGATTAGATTAAGGTATCTACAATCTTAAAATGCTATGTGAACGGGAAGGGAGGAAAACAGATCTGAGACGTAGGAAGTGGTGAAGGAAGTAAGTCAAGGCGAGCAGTCCGGTGTGTGGGAACTGTTTATGAGGATTAGATTAAGGTATCTGCAATCTTAAAATGCAATGGGAAGGGAGGGAAACAGGTCCGCGACGTAGGAAGAGGTGAAGGAAGTAGTAAAGGCGAGCAGTGTTGAGTCTGGGAACTGGAAACCAATTGTAACAGTTAGATTTATGTATCTGAAATTGAAATACTGAAATGCTATGAGAGGGGATGGAAAAATGTCCAAGACATAGGAAATGGTGAAAGAAGTATTAAATGCTTTTTAGCAGTGCGGAAATGTGTGTGGCAATTAGATTAATGTATTTAAAATACTAAAATGCTATGGAAAGAGATGACAACAGGTCCACGACGTAGGAAGTAGTAAAGTTTAGAATCGCAGAGTGTGGGAACCGTTTGTGGCAGTTAGATTAATGTATCTGTAATACTTAAATGCTATGAGAAGGGAAGGAAATGGTGAAGGAAGTAGTAAAGGGGGAATCGCAGAGTGGGGGAATTATTTTCCCCGAGCAAAGCTCGGTCCCCAGGTACTGGTCATGGATAGTCATGGAAAGTCAGGGAAATTGATGACAAAATTCAGTGGACACCCTGGTTAAAGAAGTTCTCATATTCCCCAAACAACATACTGGAGATAAAAGTTAACGGTCGTCCCATATGCATGTTTTCATATATCTATATCTATGTTTTCATATCTACGACTAGAGAGGCTAGGCTAGGCTTTCATCTTATGAGAGATTCAATGCAGATCTCTTCATTATGTCGCAACAATCTATAGGAATCAAATGAATAATACAAAACAATTTAACTTCACAAAGGAAAAATATTTTTGAATTGGACTGCTGATGTATGAAATCATGCTTTAAGCAAGAAGGGGCTGAACATCGGTGTGGGGATTAGCAAAAAGATTTAAAGTGTACTTACTCAAATTAAATACAAAGCCCCCCAAAATATATGTTGCACGAAAAAAACTTAAATAACAAATAGGGGTTGTATAGGATGTAACTACTCAAGTAGCGAGTCTTTGTGTAAAACTTGGTTTGCAATCAAAAATTTTACAACTACTCTCAAGTACTCGCTGTACCTACTCATGTTTTCCTCTGTACCTATTTATCTCTTTGCTTTACCCAAACTTCGGTTGAATAACAGACAAAATGAACAATAATACGTCTTCATAAACTTAACAACATTCTGATGACAGTGTTGAAGTTGTATGACAACCGGTCTATACAATTATATGAAACAACCCAAGGTTCAGCAGCATATAAACGAAGTAAGTTCAATAAATGGTATATATCATCACTAGGGCCTAAAGTGACCCTTTTTGACCTATGCTCAAGTTTTACAATCGAGGTGAAGCTGTGGTCGAAAAATGAGTGAGGGTTGAAAAGACACTTTGCCCCAACAGCTGTTTTTGCTGTAGTATGCGACGAAAAACTATTTTAATAGGTAAGTAGGCTTATTAAAGAATAGTATATTTCATTACTAGGACCAAAAGTGACTTTTTCCGACACACGCTTAAGTTTCAAGTGTGAGGCAAAGCCGAGCAC